TGATGATGATAATAATAATAATAATAATAATAATAATTATTATTATTATTATTATTATTATTATTATTATACATTTTAAATAATATTTTTGTTGATTATTAATTAATACTTTTTTTTGTATTCTTTTATAATCCAAAATCTTCAACAATAAATTTTGATTGTAAATCTAATTATAAGATGACTATTTAACTCATTATTTATGTGTTCTATGCTCTTTATGAGTATTTGAGTATTGAGTATCTTAGCAGCGTGTTACTGTGGAAGTGTTCTGGAGTCAGAGTCTCTCGTGCCTCGGTTATGGATTCAGAAGCTCATCTGAAGTGTCAAGCGCTGTATTGCTGCTGAGCTCTAGTAGAGACGAGGGTCTGACGCTCTCTTTCTCTCTCCGTCCTGTAGTGCACGCACTCATGTGGCGGTGGTCAGCGCACGCGGTTGGTGGTGTGTCAGCATCCGAACGGGCAGAGGCTAAACGAGCACAGCTGTGACGTGCTGGACAAACCGGCCGATGTGGAGCGGTGTAACGGCCAGCCCTGCCCCGGCGCTGCTTCCTGGCACAGACGAGCATGGAGGCCGGTACGATAGATAGCAACTGTCTGTGTGTGTGTGTGTGTGTGTGTGTGTGTGTGTGTGTCTCGCGTCCGTCACACGCCGGCGAGGCCCAGAGACACGTGTGCTTTCATGCCCAAACAGAGTTCACCTTCAGTTACTTACATGCTCAGAAACAGCTCAGATCAGCCGTTATAAAGTCAAAATAAAACTTTAAAAAATTACTTAATTAATAAATAAATAAATAAAGATCATTTTTCTGATCCCATTGGCAGATGTTTGTTCTTGTTTTAAGCGAAAACTCACTTAATTTTGGTGCATTTTTCAGAAAACAAGACTTAATATCTGAAGTAATTTCGCTTCGCCAGTAAAAGTGTCTCTATTTAAGAATGTTTAGATATTTGTACTGGAAAACAAGACAAAACAAATTTTTTTTTTGTGGTGAATCTTCAGGCCACTCAAGCAGATTTCACAGGACATCATTAAAAACATGTTTGCACGCTTTATAAATGAGAGGAACCGTGTCTGAAAAACTGAGAAATCATTCGTGCAATTTTATTTGTACTCGAGTTGTAATCTAAAAACACAAGTGTATATTTGTGTATAAGAGTTTAATATTTTAATTATTATTATGACAATTACCCAGCAGCCACTTATTGTATATTATATTTGTATCTTTGTACAGAATGAGTATTTTTAAAGTCATCAATTCGTCTTATATCTATATTATTTAATATTTCAAACTGGTGCTCGTGACGTCGACTTGTACAGAGGAAACTTTGTTAGCGTTTTGTTTTTATTTTAATCGCGATGTGAAATTAGTTTTTGAAAGATCTGCAGTTTTATATTTTTCAACAGAAATCATGGAGGCAGGATATTAACATATCTAATTATAGATAAACAGACTTTAGTTCGTTTGACAAGAGATTACGATTCTTCGACGTGGACTGAAACACTCAAGAAAAACTTGATGAATAACAAATGAAAGAAATACCTCATCGTTCAGTCTTTGACTCAAAATGCACTTGCAAAATGTAATTTCAGAGTAGATTTCAGCCTCGTCTAACCCTCATAATGCATTCAAAAACTGTGAACTATCTTCACAGAATCGTTATTTCATAAAACTCAATGTTTTTCAACTAAAACCATATCATATCTGATCAGCAGCTTCTCATTAATCAGTGAATGTGAACATAAAAATCTAAGTTTTGTGAATTGTACTGCTATTACAGCTATTACTCCTTTTTTTATTAATTAAAACTTGAGAAATTCTTTGAAATTTCAAATTACACATGAAGCATGCCAAAAAACTATGATGCAAAATATTTATATGTATTTTTAAATATTGGTGAGAAATTTAATTTGAATATGTCATTACATGAAATATATAAGATTATATGATCTGAGAATTACCAGTATTAACTCCATTTGAATGAATGCAATTTAATTTAATTGCATTCTTTTGCAAAGTTATAAATATTTTTTTTTTAATTTATATTAATATAATTTTATATAATTTTTTATATTAATTTTTAATTAATATTTGAATTTATAACTCAAATATAAATAACTGTAAATATAAAAAACTCAAAAACGGTCAATTTTTGAAGCTTACATATTTACAGGTGCATCTCAATAAATTAGAATGTCGTGGAAAAGTTCATTTATGATTTCTAACAAAACAACATAAATATTACTCTGAATGTTTTCAAACAAAATAAATGAATTTTACTTATATAAACTTTCAGATGAATAAAGTCATCCATTTTTCATACTGTGATGGTTGGTCAATAGACGTACATATTCATGTTCATCAACACAATTCAGTCCCAGAAGTGTGAGAGATATGGGGAAATATAGTTTATGAAAGTTTTTGACATTAATATAACTCCATAGATGAGTATTTTTGACACCTAATGGAGCTCCATTCATACCCGGGTCAAAAATGACCCGAACACGAAACATGTTATATCTCTTAAAAAATAATTGTAAAAAATCTGAAAAAAATAAATGTTTATTTTGAGGGCCTTAAAGCATTTGCAAAGTTTCATTCGCTTACTAAAAACCGTGCAGTTAAAAAAAAAATGTACGTATCTCTTCCGGGTCAAACTGCGTTCTGAGGGTTAAACGAGTGCTCTGTTCTGTGAAGCTCGTCATCACGTATCAACACTGAGATTTGGTGCTAATTAATATTCAATCACTAATTACTATCTACTTCATTGTTTGTCTAATGTAGCGCAGAGTTTTAACGTATTCAAACATTATTTTTGCATCAATGTTTCTCAGAGTTTGTCATTATCGTTAAGGTTGCCGTCGGTTTCTGCAAACTAAACCTTGAGAGCATTTTAGCTCTTCTTTTATCAGCTACCATAGCAAATCTAGAAACCAAAGCCTATCGACTTGTTGTTTTTTTAGATGATCTTTCTAGAGTGAAAAGGAGAAAAAGACTTCATTTAATTCCCATCTGAATTCACAGGTTCGGACAGTGAATTAATTGCCGTCTGAATGAGTTTTATCATGGTGCCATATATTAGTCTTTGTTTTTGATCATATTTCTTCAGTTTCAGAACACAAATACCTCTTTTATGCTGTATGTTTGGTCAATTGTTTTTCTGTTGTTTTATTTATTTGTTTACAGAGCTGCAGCTTTTTATATGCAAATGTCTTGTTTGATTTTGTTTCGAATCATAAAGTAACTGTATATTTGTCTGAATCTTCAATGCGATTCATCTCTCTTCTGGTCCGCTGATTTCTCCTCTTTGTTTCTGTTCATTTTGTTCTGGTTTCTTTCTCTCTGGCCGTCCTCATCGCTCATGATGTATGATTTTTGTTTTTCTCATTAACATGTTCAACTGAAAGTCCCACTCAGTTTGTTCCAGAACTATTTCACACTGTCAAAATGATTAAAATACTTAAAGGTTGTGAACGCTTGTGTTGTTTCTTAGTCTTTTGGGCTTTGTCACATCTGAAGTGTTTTTATGTTCCTTTAGTTTTTATCAACACATTTTGTGGTTAATATGTGTGTGAATATATAAGGGAAATAAGGAAAAGTTTATATTTTAGCTGCTGTTATTCTCGGTCAATGTGTTATTTAACTATACGCACAGACACACTCACACACACGCGCGCACACACACACACAAACTCACACACACACACACATATTATTTTTATTTCAGTTTTAGTTTCAATTGTTATAGTATTTCATCAAGTTAGACTAAAATGAGAAATGTTGCCTTGGTGTAACTAGCTGAAATAAAAAAAGTTTTTATTTTATTTTATGTAATGAAAATGTTTTTTTTTTTAATGGTTTTAGTTTCAGTTTTAGTTAAAGGGGTCATATGATGCTGCTAAAAAGAACATTATTTTGTGTATTTGGTGTAATGAAATGTGTTTATAGATATGTGGGGCGTGTTAGAATGAGCCGTTTTAGGTAGGTGTGGCTGACTCTGAACTTTTATAAAGAATATCTCTTTGGATTTGAGACTTTAGTCTTTGCAACTTTACAGATCTTCTTTATGCACCAAGAGCTTGTAACACTCCAAAGAGAAAGGAAAAATTGAAATCGCATCATATGACCCCTTTAAATATAATAACCCTGTAAATGACACAGACATCCAGCTGTGCTTTAATAAACATATGGATGCGTCAAACACTCTTTTTCTGATTATTGTTAATATTCTCTCTGAATATTTCATCTTTTGGGTTTGATTGGTTGATTGATTGATTGGTTGCAGTATTATGATGTAGTTTATGGGTATTGTTAAAACTTGGTGACTTACCTCGTGAAACATCTTCAGTGTGATGACAAGCTTTACAATTATTCATCTGAAATGAGAAGAATACAAGCAACCAAGAAAGCAATAGTTATCATAACCTGTTTCAGTTTTGATTATAAATAAACTGCTTATATGATGAGAGAAGCAACTCTTGTTCAGTATATTTTCAGTAGAAACACTTACCAGAATCATGTCAGGTTTATTGTGCCAGTAAAAAACAGATTTAAACCATCGTTACACAAAACATGACGCCTAATGAAGTGCATTTTATTCTCTTGAAAACGTATTAAATCCCACGCGTTGTAATGCTGAACTGATTAAGTTAATACAGAAACCTCTTTATGTTCTCATGCAGTTCTGGCTGTAATTAAAGCACGAGCCGCTGCTGAATCTGAATGTTGTGAGTTGATTAGAAGCTAGTGCTGATTTGTAATTATAAGATGAAGCAGCGCTCCTGACTCAGTGTCAGAAAATATTTCAATCAGCATTAATTATGCTCAGTAATTATCAGGGTTATTATCATAAACTACAAATAAAACCATTCGGAAATATATCAGTTATTTCAAATAAAATAAAAATTAATTTGTCAACTAGTTGCCAAGGCAATATTTCTAATCTAAAAGTAAAATAAAAAATTAATAAAACGATAGATATATATATGTATATATATGTATATATATGTACAGTGGGTACGGAAAGTATTCAGACCCCCTTAAATTTTTCACTCTTTGTTATATTGCAGCAAAAATTAACTTAAATGATTTTAGCAAATGGCTGCAATATGACAAAGAGTGAAAAATTGAAGGGGGTCTGAATACTTTCCGTACCCACTGTATATATATGTGTATATATATGTGTATATATGTGTATGTATATGTATGTATATGTGTATATATATATATGTGGACTGAGAGGTGCATCTGGAAGCGTTTAGACCGGTTCTGTTCACAGTGAATCCTCAGTTTGAGATGGACTTTAGTGGCTTTACTGCTAGTTCTGCTCACTTTGACTGCATCGGTAATAGCTTCTGATGAAGACACGGATGAGAATCTCAGGAACCCACTTAGATCCGTTCTGGGACGCTTTTAAAGGAAAAGTTCACCTAAAAATGAAAATGTGCTGAAAGTGTGCTCACCCTCAGTTCATCCGAGATCAGGATGATCTTCATCAGGTTTGGAGAAATGCAGCACTGCATCAGTGTCTCAGCAATGGATGCTCTGCAGTGAATGGGTGCCGTCAGAATGAGAGTCCAAACAGCTGATAAAAACATCAGAATAATCCACAAGTAATCCACAACACTCCAGTCCATCAGTTAACATCTGGAGAAGACAAAAGCTGAAACACATCCAGCATTAAAACGTTTATAACTAAAATACATCGAGTCCATAATCCATAATAACTCTTCCTCCAGTGAAAAAGTGTTCTGGTCTGAATCAGGAGAGAAATCTGCACAG